ATACTGAAAGCCCGATTTCAGGTGTTTGACCTGACCTTGACCCGACCTGTGACCTCAAAATTCAACTTTAAAGTACTCATCTGAAGCGTCTCGTCGCGTCCTTTCGTTTGCCGCCTCGTGCGTTTCGCTGCGCCTATCGGTTCTCGAGTTATCGACTGGGGGCATTTAACGCCCCCCCCCCCAGCAAACGGTGGGTGGCGAAATACCCCAGCAACTGCCGGGTTAACCCGCGCGGGGCTGGGGTCTCCAGCCGAACGCGCGGGGCTGGGGGGATAAATTTTACCCCCTTGTTATCTCCCGAACTAATGGTCCGATTTGGAAAATTCAAACGCCAATCGAAAGATCTCATCACGAATAACTAAAAACATGTACTTAATTTAAAGTTTGAGGTCAAGGTCAAGGTCAGGTCAAGGGTACAAATTGCAAGTTTCTACAGTATCGGCCTTGCACCGTATAGTTGCCGAAGAATGGAGTCATGGACTGAGACTGATTGCCCAAAACGTGTTTGGGCCTGACCTTGGCCATAAGTTTGGCAGGCCAGATTTTGTACTGGACCATTTTGAGTCAACTTTGAGAAATACATAACGTACAACGGTGGTAAAATCGTTGCTATAGGTATAACACAGTTTACCCGCTCCGGGTGTGAGGGAGGGATGTGGGGCAATGAGTGCACTGACGTGGCGCCCTCGGAGGGCCGGTATGGGATTAAAGCTCAGCTACACTAAGGGCTTGTGTGGTGCCTTCAGTTATCGGTGGCACCCTCAGAATCACCGGCGTAGGGCCCTCAGAGCCGCCGGCAAGGGAGGCACTGGTGTGGGGCCGCCATGCAGGTGCCGGTGTGGGCGATCTGAGGTGCTAGTGTGATTCTCTCAGAGGCGCCGATGAGGGTCCTTACAGGCGTTGCTCCGGGCCCTCATAGACGCTGGTGTAGAGCCGTTACAGACGGGTGTGGGGCCTTTAGAGCTGCTGACGCGAACTCTCTACAAGCCGGCAGGGGGTCTCAGTGACCGGCAAGGGGTCCTTAGGGCTTAGGCCGGCAGAAGAAGTCCTGCGGGGTCCTAAGAGACCGGCATGGTACTGTCAGACGCCGGTGGGGCCCTCAGGGTCACCATTGTGGGGCCCTCAAGTCATCAGTGGGTGGCCTTTAGATGCACAGGTGTTGGGTGGGTCCTCAGAGCCGCCGATATAGGGCTTTAATAGGCACTGGTGTAGGCACTCGGAGTTGGGAGTGTGAAACGCTCAGAGACACCGGTGTGGGCCCTCATAGGCACCGACGAGGGCCCCACAGTTGCCGTTATGGGGCCCTCAGAAAAATAAGTGTGGGACCATCACAGGTGGGAAATGCCCCTAGAACTGTCCCCTCATAGGCCGGTAAGACCTCTCAGAGGCCAGTAAAGGCTGAAGCAGACTCTCCGCGTTCAGGAAATCGCATGCGAGAGCCTATTCAAATACATTGTAATTCCTCTCGCATCAATCGCTCGCGGGAGGTGCGTGCGATTGATGCGAGCGTGCTTCCATGTATTTGAATAGGCTCTCGCATGCGATTTCCTGACTGCGGAAAGAGTCTGTTTCAGGCTTAACGGGCCTTTGGAGACCACTGAGGTGTCCTTAAAAGCCGCAAGAGGCCCTCAGAAGTCGGCGTGGGGCCCTTATGGAGACCTTAGTGTGGCTTTTTAGGGCCCATGAGGTGCTCTAACGAGCCCCACGGGGCCCTTCTGAGTAGAAATATGGCCATCGTTAACCCTCAGCGGTCAAATGGCGCCGCATGGCCTCTCGGACCCGAGGGTCCCTTTGAACTCGATGGGGGGGAGGGGGCACGTGTCCCCTTAGACCCCTAGCTATGCCACTGTTTCATATGCATCATGTCAGGTATTTTAGGCTCGCCCCCCCCCCCAACTTGAAAATCGTTCCCGGGCCCTTGATAATATCAGATTTAATGTTAACACAAATGTCATGCATCTTAATTTGTGGTGATTTATTCAATGTATATTCTCTTAGTCACTGAATTGAGTAAGCATAGTATTTGCATGATTCACTGGGCTCATTACAGTACTAGGAGATGGACATTCTGATTATTGAGGGCCTTGAGTCAGCTGGGAATGTTTTGAGGAGGCTGGGGGTGCTTTAAGAAGGCAGGGGGTGCTGAGCTCAGGATTGGGGGTGCTTGAGCACCCACAAAGAGATATAAAGTTACGCTTATGAGCGGATGTCAGAATAACAGCAGCACTCCCATTCATATGTTATTTCAGGTGTCGTCAATTACTGTCCGATTAGCGAATTCCAAGCAGCCGACTTATAAAGCACTAATGTCCTTTGTGTCCATCATAATCGGACCTTGTATGTTTATTCTGCATCAGATTATTTCCTGCAAAAAAATATTTAAGTTCATTTCTCAATTAATTCAAGTCAAATCAGATGATGTTACTTTTAATGCAGGTAATACAGAATCATGGTAGAACACAGCACGGGCAATACACAATTCGCTTATGTGTCTGCACCTTTTACATTGCTGGTGCTTATTTTACAGGAGCCGTGCGGCGGAACGGGCTTACCCAGGACACCAACAACGGCCAGCTGGAGGTGGCGCCACGAAAGTGGTTTACGGGTGCCAGGAACCGCGACGGAGGCCGCCAGGAGAGGACACCAGCTGGAGTTTAAGCGGAGGAGCAGATGAGAGAAGAAGTCTAGAGATGAACAGAAGAGAGGAGAGATTTTAAACAGCATTTTTGTGTTTATCGATAATATAAATATTGATCACTGACAGTTTGTTTTGTTGCGGTGGCGAACGTTCAGCAATGATCAGGGGGAGTGATTGAAATAGCAGACATCGATTATATTATAATCATATTGAAATTAATTGTAGGTTCTGGTGGGAACTAAGATGGGCTTTGGTGAATATTTATTGATTAATACAAACGATGCTAGGGAGGTGAGCCAGCATGGGGCCCACCTAGGGCCCACATCTGCTGGCCCACGTGGACCCCATATGGTACCCACCTTGAGCCCATGTGGGCCAGCCCAGGTGGGCCACATATGGTGCCCATCTTGAGCCCATGTGGGCCAGCCCAGGTGGGCCCCATATGGTACCCACCTTGAGCCCGCGTGGGCCAGCCCAGGTGGGCCCCACCATTTACCCAGGGACAAATTTATGTGGGCCCCACATGGGCTGCCCACATGGGTCCCACCAAGTGGCCCACCTGGGCCCCATGTGGGGCCAAGGTAATAATGTTGGCTGGGTATGGGTCCCAGCTGGGTCCCATTTCGAACCCACATGGGCTCCAGGTGGGATTTTTCGCTTATACCCATTTGGGTCCCGGCTGGGAAAGCCCATATGGGACCCGGCTGGGCCCCATATGGGTCCCATGTCGAACGCACATGGGCCCCATGTGGGATTTTTCGCTTATACCCATGTGGGTCCCGGCTGGGAAAGCCCATGTGGGACCCATATGTGCCCCGGCTGGGCCCCATTTGGGTCCCATTTCGAACCCACATGGGCCCCATGTGGGATTTTTCGCTTATATCCATGTGGGTCCCGGCTGGGAAAGCCCAAGTGGGACCCATATGTGCCCCGGCTGGGCCCCATATGGGTCCCATTTCGAACCCACATGAGCCCCATGTGGGATTTTTCGCTTATACCCATGTGGGTCCCGGCTGGGAAAGCCCATGTGGGACCCATATGTGCCCCGGCTGGGCCCCATATGGGTCCCATTTCGAACCCACATGGGCCCCATGTGGGATTTTTCAATTATACCCATGTGGGTCCCGGCTGGGAAAGCCCATGTGGGACCCATATGTGCCCCGGCTGGGCCCCATATGGGTCCCATTTCGAACCCACATGGGCCCCATGTGGGATTCTTCAATTATACCCATGTGGGTCCCGGCTGGGAAAGCCCATGTGGGACCCATATGTGCCCCGGCTGGGCCCCATATGGGGCCATCTGGGCTGCCCATATGGGACCCAGTTGGACGCCCATGACAAACACATCTGGGCCCCAAGTGGGCAGCCCAGATGGGCCCCAGTTTGCTGCCCACTTGGGGCCCATATGGGCCCCATTTGGGAAGGCTGGCTGGGTAAGAAATTGAGGTTCATTAAAGTCCTCATTATTTCAAGCATAAATCTTTTTAGATCACTCGAGTCACTGCTCTAACTAGTAAACAGCAGTGAATTCGCACACAGCACACCTGACCGAAAGGTAAACACACACCAATTGCAAACAATCGCGCCCAAATTCAAGGAGCTGCAAGATTGAGCGGGTCGGGTCGCGTCGGCCTGTGGTGATCTAGATTAGAAACGACCACAATGACCCCTGACGCACGCGCTGCACCCCGCAGCGCCGGTCCGGTCGACTCGTAATGAGCGCAGCAAACAAACGTCTGGTGATCAGGGACTCACAGCTGACACTTTAATAAGCGCACTCACAGCCCCACGGTGCGAAAGTGGGTGGCAGAGGCTAACAGTGTACAGTGTAGCCGGTCCTAGAGGGATTAATTGGGTGGTTGCCAACATCACAATAATCGATGTGTATGGATAAAAACGTCTATTGGCTGTTTAAAACCATTGCCGAAGTGACCGCACGAAGCCTCCATTCATTTCTTACTCTTAAGTAGTTTTACTGGAGTTTCCGTGTCATTCAAAGTTATTATCCCCAAAACATATCAGCTGACCAACCACCATGGGCGTGGGAACCGGGGGGGGGGGAGGGGGCAGTGGCGGCAGCTTGCCCCCCCCCCCACAACTCTGGGTCCGTGGGGGCGGTGGCTCCACAACTTTGAAACGGAATACCGCACTTTTTTGCATATGATTTCTGTTTTTGTTGAAAAAGCCAAGGGATGAAAGTACATAAGTGGTCTAAAACCGGTCAGAATTAAACTAGATTTGTTGGGGGTACCCCCTCGGTTGATCTCTACTATGGTGTGTCCCCTCCCCTTCCAGTCTGAAAGTAGTTCCCGTGCCCCTGTGCGACATAGAAATAACATGATCATCACGTTAAACTGCTCACCTTGAGATAGTAGGAGCGCATGTTGCTTCCGATGCCGTACATGGGGCAGCTGCTCCTTGTGACGTACTTTTTGACGAGCCACTTGAAGGTCATGTAGGCTCGCCTGTAGTGTTCAGGGAGCGCCTGGCTGAGTCGCACTTCAGCCTGCGGCAAGAACAAACGACGGTTTCAGCAGGTTAGTCGATACGATATTGATTCCGTTGCTCCACTCATCTCTCTGGGGCGAGATAGCGACATGCTAATCCCCCCCCCCCCGAAGGTGACTTCTGGCCAGTAATGACGGCAGTCTCACCTTAGAATAAGGATTAGCAGTTCAGCCTCGCCTCAGAGAAGCAATAGCGCCAGTCCTACCTAATTGGAGTAGTGCCACAGTCTCACTTTGGAGACAGAGTAGTTGCACAGTCCCACTTTGGAGACGGAATAGCGCCACAGTCGCACCTTGGAGAAGTATCTCACCTTGGAGAAGGAGTAGCACCACAGTCGCACATTGGAGAAGGTGTAGCGCTACAGTCTTGAGTCTCACCTTGGTGAAGGAGTAGTTGCACACCCTCACCTTGGAGGAGTATCTCACCCTGGAGAAGGAGTAGTGCCACAGTCGCACCTTGGAGGAGTATCTCACCTTGGAGAAGGAGTAGCGCCAGTCTTGAGTCTCACCTTGGAGAAGGTGTAGCGCTACAGTCTTGAGTCTCACCTTGGAGAAGGAGTAGCGCCAGTCTTGAGTCTCACCTTGGAGGAGTAGTTGCACATCCTCACCTTGGAGAAGGAGTATCTCACCTTGGAGAAGGAGTAGCGCCACAGCAGGTGGGCGTCGTCGCAGGCGGCGGGCCCGTTCACGGCCAGACAGCGGCACGGTCGGGGCGGCTTGGGCACCAGGTGGCAGCCCTGGCGGACGATGCCGTCCACCTCGTACCGGGTGGGCCACTGACGCGACCTGGCGGTGTCCGCGGGGTCGATCAGCGGCACAGACGACAGGAGCCCGTACAGAAGGGAGGCGGCGTGGGTACGGGAGGCGACAGACTCGAGTGAATCGAGGGAGGACGATTGACATGTCTGTGAATTGTTGCGATTGTCAGTGACTGCGAGGTGCAAAATAAACAAAAAGGACACATATTTGCACAATGGTAAGCATATACTATACGTCATCGCTATGAACCAAATTTACTTAGCATGGCTTCCAGGCAGCTCTGTTCTCGACTATGGCCAAAACGGCAGGCCAAAAATGGTAACTTTACTGACAATGACCTACAGCACTTCTTAGCCGCCCTCCTTCAGGAATCGGCACTCACCTGGTCTTGAACTGCATGGCGTCGTTGGGCCACTCGGGACAGACCAGCGCCGTCACGAAGTCGCCGTAGAAAATGGTCGGCAGCTTGAAGAAGCACTGCGACACGCACACGAACAGCGAGGCGCACAGTGCCGACAGCGCCACGTAGGCGATCACAAATCCGATGTGCAGCTGGTCAGCGGCGGCGGCGTCAGCGACCGGGTCGGGCTCGGGCCGCCGCAGCGCCAGCACCACCAGCAGCGCCGGCAGCACCAGCACCATCGGCACCAGCAGCGTCACCGTGTAGTAGATGGAGCAGCACGCGCCGCCGGTACACTTGCGCACCTGGCGGCCAGCCGCGGAACTGTTACTACATGAAATACCTGCCACACTGGCTCAGAGGGCGCCATCGTCGGGGCACAGCCGGAAGGGGTAACCGGACAAAAGATCGTAAAGCAGAAGATCGTATGGCAGAAGATCGTAGGCAGTTGATCGTATGCAAAATATCGTAATGGATAAAGATCGTACGACATAATGCTCGTATGGACAAAAGATCGTATTCGCTAAAGATCGTCAAGGAAAATGATCGTATGCCAAAAAGTCGTAATGGATAAAGATCGTACGACATAATGATCGTATGGACAAAAGATCGTATTCGCTAAAGATCGTCAAGGAAAATGATCGTATGCCAAAAAGTCGTAATGGATAAAGATCGTACGACATAATGCTCGTATGGACAAAAGATCGTATTCGCTAAATATCGTCAAGGAAAATGATCGTACGCCAAATGATCGTATGAGATAAAGATCGTACAGTCAAAATATGGCATTCACATGGTGCAGCCCAACTCCAGCGCATACAAAGCTTATCAATTTCTGTGTTCGCGTAGTAGGTAAGTGGCCGTCGTAAGCTCGACCATACATTGATGTTATTTCAGAGCTTAGATGGCTCAATGACACCTAAAAGCAACGCGTTGTATATGTGCCGAATAAATGAATGTATGTGCTGCCGTTTTCATGTACCTATTTGAAGTGAATACAACTAAACCCATGTCCCCCCCCCCCCACCGCCTGGAAGGTTAAAATGTTGCTTAAAGCAGGCGCGTAACCACGAGGCCGAAGTCACTGGGGACCACATGGAGGGCTGCGAAGACCATATTTTATATTTCAGGATCAGCCTTCGCCCGAGTGGGGGGCGTTTTTGGACACACCTGCCATTTTTTGCGCGTTTAAGGGAAACCGCCGCTCGCACCGCCGCGAAACTTGGAATAGCTTATGATGCCTCAATTTCGCATCATGTGTGAAGATTTTGACCCCAGGTCACCTTAGGTCAGGTCAACAGGTCAAGTAAAGTAGCCATGCCTCTAAAAAACTATGCGACTGTCATTCCTACAGTCAACATTCCAAAAGTTTGAAACTCGAGCTTTAGCATGAGGAAATCGATGTGAACAATTCGTATATCTCTAAAGTCTTCACATCGGTGACCTAAAGTCAGGTCAATTTTGCGAACTCTCCATTTTCCAATTTTCCAATTTTCTCCCATATGTCAATGGGAGAAAATTGAAATGATCTTAAGGCCGAAGACACATTGAAACCCCGTGACACAGGTAAAAATGGCACACTGAACCGGTTAATTGGAACTGTGACCCCTTGTATGCCCTTGAGGTCATCTCAGGCCATGAAACATCTCCATGAGTTTTTTACCATAACTTTAGGTAGAAATATGCTAGAGCGCTGAAAACACGATGAATGTGTTCAGCTCAACAATACTAACCGAATGACATGCATAGGCGTCGCCAGAGATTTTCGGTTGGGGGGCAAAATCAACTTTTGTGTTAAATCTTGCCTTCCTCCAGTCGTTACTCATTCATTTTACATATCATTCAACGCGCAATGGTGCGAGGAATACGATGGTGACAAGGTTTTCCTTGTAGCTATGACTTGCCATTTTTTACAGAATTTTTTGTTTTTAATTTTTGAACAAAAAACGACCGGTAGAATCACAATGGCTGCGCTTGCCGACGCACTCTGGAGAGCCCCTGTGCAGACGCTCGTCGCTCATGATCATAAAAAGGTTAAACGCTCAGCTTAAGCGAATCACCTTGCTGAAACTTTCATTCACGCATGCATGCAGAGGTTCTACGTAAAATGCATAGGGCTTATCCCAGCCGCCGATTAAAGCTAAGTAGGGCTTTCAGCGGAGAGTGAATGTCGGAAGTGTGAATCGGAAGTAATTCATCTTTGCTCCAGTGAGAGGAGGTGTAGTGTGAACAAAAAGTTTCTCGTTTTTCGTGTGTAGGGAAGCGCTGCAAACGCGAAGAAAAGACGTTTAACGGAACCAAAATTTCGCACGGCATAGCGGCAAGGGATCTTTTAGCGATAGGCTTGGGACTTCCAGGCCCTTTTAGGCCACTCAGGGTCAGTGTGGGCTCTCAGAAGCCTGCCTAGGATCCTGAAAATCGGCGCTGGTCACCCCAAATAGTTACGTGTACATATGTGGTGCTTTAGGGCTTTCCGTGCCCAAGGTGGGACCCTCAGAAGCCAGTGTGGGCGGCGCCGGCGGCGGGCGCTAAGAGACCAGGCCCAGGGTGAGCAGGGAGCCCTCAAATAGCAGTGTGAACCCTGGAGGTCTGTGTCGAATCCCTAAGGACCCTACATAGGGACATAAGAAACATGTGCTGGGACCCTCAGAGGCACACCCGAGTCGTGACCCCTAAACTGCAGGCTTAGGCTCAGCAAAATCTGTCGCCTCAAAAGCTCGGCTGAGCTATCAGAGGCCTAAGGTTCTCAGAAATATTTGAAAGTATCCTCAAAGATCCGTGTGGCCCTTCAGAGTTCTACGCATGTGTAAGGTCCTCAAAGATTCCTGTATGGGCCCTCAGAGAATATGAACACCAGTGGGACTCTCAGAGGCCGGTTTGGGCCCTCTGAAGGCTTCTTAGAGCTCAGTGGAGCTCCTTCGGAGCCTGTGTGAAAAGCAAGCAGTCATGAGCCCTGTGGCACTTGAACGGTACTTGAGTCTGTCGCAGACATTTGACGAGAGTTGAGAAAGGCCCGAAGATTCAGTGTCACGCTTTGAACGCAAATTTTGTATCAGCACTTCAAAACTTATAAAAATCAGCTATAAAATGTAATAAAAAACCAACGAGGAACATGAAATGAATCACAGTATTGACACTTCCGAGTCTGGAGTCGGTGTTTTGACGATGTTGGCGACTGCGACTCCGACTCTGGCTTGAACGAGTCTGACCTCACAGGCATTCTCAGAAAGGTACCCCCATTTTTTCCCGACTCCAAAATCTCATCGGATCTGTATCGATCTCAGGGGGTGCCCGGTCCGAGGTTGGGGGGGCAAGCTGCCCCGCTTGCCCCCCCGTGGCGACGCTAATGGACATGCAACATGACCTTTTCCGTGACCATGACCAGAGATCAATATTTCCAGACTTATAATTTATTCGACGCGTCTCAACGAGACGAACGCGATGCCGTAAAATCAGCGTCATGCAAGTTTGGAGGCAAAAGTTATTATACAAAAACCTAGGTATCCCGCAAAAACGCCAACCTGGAGGCTAAACCGTTGACCTTAGGTCAAATCTGAGGACATTGATCAGAAAGGCCTTTAACCCGCGCCCCACTGGGGGGGGGGCTATTTATAGCCCCCCCTCCCGTTTTTCTGCAATAACTTCCAAACCGCTTAACGGATCGACGCCAAACTTTCAGGACCTTCGGCTGCATCAATTTGACACCTTGTGTCAAAATTTGAACTTTGTAGCTACCATAGGTCGGCCGGAAATAACGTCAGAGTGACGTCATGTTCGTCCGATTTCGACGCAAAACATTGAACCACGGCAATCGCTCCCAAGAGCTCAGTTTTTAAGCTAGATCCAATTTCTTTGCATGAAAGGACTTAGAATTGACTGCGCTATCAAACTGCTATCTCGGATTTTCAAAATTTTGAAAATTTCGAAAATTTTACATAATAATATTCAAAATTTATATTTTTATATTTTTTTCAAAAAGTTTTTGACTTTTCGAAAAAACCGGAATATATGTGACAGAAAGCATAATATTGACTAACTCTAGCAAGTTTTAGCTAAATATCTTCAAAAATGGCCAAGTTATACGCATTATTGCAAAAAATTCACAATTATTAATTTTTCAAATCAATTTTTCAGTACGTATTTGACATCGTACACCAATATAAATGGCCCCATCGTGTTCCTGAGCTCAAACTGCATCCATTAGACACCTTTTTCGTTGAAAAATTTTAACTTCAAAATTTGACCTTTTTTGACCTGAAAGTGACCTGACCTAAGCGAAATTCGACTCCAAATGACCTCGAATGACACAGACGACATCAAATTCGAAATCTATGGCCTAAATGGACCATAAAACATGTGTCACGTGACCGACGCATGATATAATATTTTCGTGACCTGTGATGACCTGACCCTGACCTGAAAATCAAAGTACAAGTTTGGTACCCTCAAAGTATCTAGAGCATCTCTTCACGAGTGTGGAAACCAAAAATGAGCCTGATCTGACTTGTAAGACGGCGGCCAGAGCCCAAAATGTGAACAAGCCAAAATGCTAATAATTTTTACTTTGACCTGACCTGTGACGTCATCGGTGACCTCGAGGTCAATGAAATTAGGTTTCGCACGTCAGTTTTTCCGGGGCTATCAGACGCCGTTTGAATTTTGACGATCGGCCCAGTAGTTTCGGAGTTAGGAGGGGGGCTATGAATAGCCCCCCCCCCCCCAGTAGGGCGTGTTATACACAGACCCCAGTAGGGCGCGGGTTAAAAGAGCTATCGAATGCGCTTCCCCGCCGCATTGAAGCTGTATTGGTTCCCGACTTATGCGCCGATTTGTGAAAAGCTGTCAAAATTGGGAACAAAAGTTTGTGAAAATTTTACCTTTGGTGACCTCCAGTGACCTCAGCGATGACCTAATCAAAAATAAGTGTAATTCTGAAACATACGCAGCGAGCTGTCTATTTCTTTTTACTGCATCTCTCTAAATTGCTTACTTTCCGAGATGATCTGCAGTGTGGCCAAAAAGCCCCCTCCCCCCATGGCGAAGCTGGCTGAAAGGCCCACCCGGGCGAGAGCTAAACAAAACATCCATAGTTTTGTCTTCTGTTGACTACATATTACTCTTCACGTCGATTTAGAGACAATATTTGGCTATTTAAGAAAATTGAGGAGGTCGTCGGTTTTACTGGGGACGGTCCCCAGTAACCCAAAAGCTACTGGGGACCGGTCCCCAGTGTCCCCAGTGGTGGTTACGCGCCTGGCTTAAAGGGAGATAATGAGCTTTCTTTTTTCTTAAATAAAAATTACTC